GGCGTCTTCTGCAAACATTACCGTTTTTGGGCCTTACACTTTCGGTAGATCATTTATGAAAGCGAGGAACAGACGGGGACCGAGTGCGGACCCTTGTGGATAACCGCAGGTGGCTATGATACATCCAGATGTGGAATCAGAAACATTGAGTTCTATGGTCCATTGTTCGAGGAATGCTTTAATCCAATGAAACGCGAAATCTCGAACGCCATAAGTGTAGAGTTTCTGCAGCAAAATTTTGTGATTCACGCGATCAACTGCTGTCGAGAAGTCGAGCTAAATCTCTTCCACTGCATCCCCTTGATCTTCTGTACTGCTCCTTTCATCTCGAACAAAAAGCAAGTTGGTGGAGCAGGATCGCGTTTGCCTAAGCCCATGTTGATCTGTCAAAAGAATGTTGTATCGTTCGAGATGTTTCATCAGATAATCTGCCACAATTGACTCCATGACTCTCAATTACACCGGCAGCGGGGTTACAGGTCGGCAGTTAGCAGGATCACTACAACAAACACGTTTGTATATGGGCGAAATGAATCCTTGTTTTCAGGACTCGGGGAGTGTTGCTTGGTCGAACATTCGTTGGAACAGAATGGCTAGCGGTTCGGATATGTGATTCGCCAAAAAAACCAGATATTCTGGGTGTACGTTGTTCACACAGTGGGTTGCATTTTTTCGCAAAGCCATTATTTTCGCTTTGACTTTTTCAGCAGTAAATGATACGTAGGTCAATGAAGGATGTGGAAGATGATGCAATCGGGGAGGTAGTTGTAAGCCTTCAACCTGCGGTGCTGCGAGAAAATTGGAATACTGAGTTTCAGCATTTCAGGTGCTTCCGTTGGAGTGGCTGCAACTCCTCCAGCACTACTTATTACCGGTATGCCAAACTTTACTTTCCGAATGGAGTTGACGTGTTTATACAACAGCTTAGGGTTAGAAATGAATCTCTGTGCTAGAGTCTCTTGGTATTTCAGTTTATCCTCACGAATCAACCTACTGAAGTGGTTTCTCAGTATACGATAATTATTCTACGTGACAACATTAGAAAGATGATTATAGTCTCGCCAGGATTGATTGGAACATACAGATGATAACAATGATGATGATAAGTTCCGGGAAGAATACAATATATGTCGAAATCATTTTTAATTTATTTAACTTCTGAACACAATATAATACAGTGCCATATAATCTAAAAGTAACTACTGAAGCCTCGCGCAAAATGCAAGCAGGTACTTGGTTTTGGTTCCTTAGATTGATCACAACGAAAAAATTCAATAACCCACCTGGAATCGGCGGGGTTGAGTGTGCATGTTGTAGTTTAAAAACAGGCACTTATGGCTTTAGATCTCTTTCCATGAGAGTTTTTTAGGGAAGAACAGCATCGGGGTTCAGCTCACTTGTTTAATTCATTGGGACCGGACTAGCATCAGTATGTGAGTTCCATTTTTGCGATGAACTACTTCTCAGCTTAACACTGGGCATGTGGATATATAACAATATGATGGATTTGCGGAACCGCAGATTTGTCTATCTTCTATGCTGCATTGCATAAATTAGCGGAATAAAGAAGATTGTTTTACTTGTTACTGCATTAACGATAACTGCTCCTCTCTTCTCCATTCCACTCAACACTTGTGCTTTTACCCGTTTTAATAAACCACGGTTTTCTGTAATGAAAGTAAGAGGACATCACAAAGCATTCTGCTCCCTCTGTGTTGAAACTGAAATGAAAAACAGATTCTTCATATATTAGGAAGGGCGGTTCACAATAGATATTTCAGACAGTGCCAGTGTACTTGTAAGTGAACTAACTAATTGCGTTAGGTCGGTTAGCTAGGCATTAGAAAAAACTAACCTGCGCTCAGTTCCGTAGCAGCATGAACAAATACAGTCTGTTGACTGAATCGATGCTGTCGCTCGGCAAATAAGCGCCTTGTTTGCACTAGTTGTTTGATTTTCGGTTTGTTGAGTAGCGAAGGTGCACAACTGTCTCAATAACACTTTGCAGAAAACGGTACACATGTCCGGATAATTATAATTTGCCCCATCAAATGCCAGTATATTCAAGTTCACCAATTAAACAATTTCAAATTGCAAAAATTAGAGAGTAAATAAAGTTTCGCGAACAAATAAATTGGGAGGCGAGGAAAGGCTCTCCCTAAATTTTAGAAACGGGTCGAAAATAAACGATAAAAAATCCGCAGAAAGACAATCCCATGGTTGAAACTACTCTGTTTACCTATGGTTACATTCGTCGGGAATGGCAATGAAGTACATCCACTTGCTAAAAATGGACAGTTTAACTGAAGGTCAATTAGGAACTGAGGAAATATGTGGCGAATGCAAACTATGTCAACTGTGTCAATGAACTGAAACGATATATATATATATTTATGAAATAGAGTGTTCTTGTTCATTTTGGAGTACGGATGGAGTGTATACAATCGGGAAATATATATCCCTGTCTAAACCTGATTCGAATTCGTCTACGATCCCGCAAGATCAAGGACCGTTTCCGTAAATCTGAAGTAGTTACGCATTTAATTGGGTCGCTAGGGGGAGTTTCCGAACAAACGTTTAACGCAAAAGTGTGAATTCGTAAATCATCACAAGAGGTCGTCGTTATCTTCGAATGGACTGAAACCAAGACTCCTCAAAATGTTAGCAGCAAACGCTATTATCGTTCAGCATATGCAGACAAACGTAACATAGTGTTTACTTGTTCAAACATTTGAGTAGAATCAAACCAAGTGTCCATAGGAATGTGATTTCGAGAAGCTTGAAGGACAGATGAAAAGCGGCAAAATGGTTTTCGTTAGCTTGAATGCTAGTTTTAGTCCCACTTTCCACTTGGTACGGGTCCTTTTTCAACCACATGCATTCCTATTTGAGGAACGTTTTCCGCCCCGCCCCACCACGGCTGCTTTGATTGATCCAATTTCGATTCGGTTGGAACGACGCCCCGCACGACGATACAGACGCCGTATGAGAAGCGGTTAATTAGTCTGGCGATAGTCTTGTTTGTCTTGCCGACGGAACCATCTTTGTCAGCTTCGCAGTCTTTTTGGGAAATCGCCCAGGGGCGAGCTGAAAAAAAAACATTCACACCTGATAAAAGGGCTTGATTAGAAATGTGTTGTGGCTGCATATCTGACCGCCGTGAGATAGATTGCAACGGTGAGATCAATCGAAATTTTCAATTCATCTAAGTGTGACACCCCTGAATTGGACTGAATTCGAAAGTATGTCTGAATGCAGGTGCGATCGTGCAAGTTTCCATGTGACTCACGTAGTTTTGCGTTATCAATTTCATGATGAAGATTGCATGTGTTTTCGACACCATTCGGTCAGATCGGATTCTGAGTTTCAATAATTAAATAAGAAATTGAGTGGAAAACACCAATTGTTGCATTAAAACGAACGGTGCCGCACTACAGTGGTGAAATGCATTACTATACAATGTTGGAAGTTGGGAGAATGTATCATGTTCCATGGTATGAAGAAGCGAAATATTTACTAAGCATAATATTAGTCAGGTTCAAAGATCTCTATTTGGAATATCGGGAATTGGGCGAAATCCGTCTGCTGCAGCTTACTACCCCGATGCAAAAAATCTCTCTGGTTAGAAAATCCCTCCTAACCACCCAGGTTATTTTTTCTTATTTCGTATTATCCGCTGTGATATTCGCAACAAAACTAGTTGAAACTAGGGAAGCCATCTACAGAGAATGATAAATAAAATGCTTTTGAATAAAGCAATATGTATGTATTTATTGCCCCATTTTCTCTGTGAATGAGATTAAAAAAATGACTAAAAATGCAAATTTGAAAAATGTGCTTCCTTAGATCCACAGTAAGTACATTTTCTGGCAAACCCGGAAAACTCGTCATTGGCCAGACCAAAACCACCTTGTGCTTTCGTTCTTCAAAGCGGATATAATCTCAAATCCGAAACACCACCCCTCATATTCCCAGTTCTTTTTCTTCAATCTAACAATATTGTATCCGTTTGGTTTTAACATATGTATGAATTCTACATCATCACGTATTTCATAGGGAACAAAGAAAACAAAGGCTGAATTCGTTTACAGAGTCATCGACAATGCTGACCAATAACACAACAATGTATCCGTCCATAGTGAGAGTGTTGCAGTAATTGTGTACGTTTTATTACCTGGACGTTATATAACTTAGACAATGAGTAGTTATGCTTTTTCCGGCAATGTCTAATTTTATATAACGTATCATCGGCTTTTAGTTCTGTTCGCCTAACATTCATCAGGCTAACTCATATTTATCAAACCTGGAAAAATGCTCTCCGGATAACGTATAGTTAGTTATATTGTATGTGCTATAACTGAGTTACGAAGTTCGCCGAATCAGTCAACTGATCGATTGTGTTTTGCACGCGGTTGTGTGAGAGACTGTCCGAGGTAAGTGGGCAAATTGCTGTCACGTCATGCTTGTACGCTTGCACAGTGACGAGTGCGCGACCTTATTCCATTTGTAAATCATGCAGTCCGCTTACTATGGTACTAGGTCTACTCAGATAGTCATGTCCTTAGAGCAACCGTGCTCACTAGTCAGTTATGCGAATCTGGCTGCTTTGCGCTGAATTTCCGTGGCAGAAAGATTGAAACGGAATGGATTTATTGATAGAATATCGGTTCTCTAGGGAGATATAGGCAAGGAGACGCATGACAGCTAGTGCATCGGTTAGACTGAGTTAGGGGTTAATGGGACGTTCTAACCAAATCGACGTCAATCTGACCAATTACAGGTAGTCAGCCACAAATCGTCAGAGTTGAGAGTTGCAGTTGGGGCAGATGTTAACAGTTGTGTTCAAGCCGTCCTGGCTTGTTTGAATTCCGCCGTCATAAGCATGAAAGGCAGAATGGGTTTGCAAATACATAACCACCGATTGAAACGGTTATCCGACTGTACTTCACGCTCGAGCGTAACGGTGCTATTTGTTCTATTTTCTCATGCTTGTTCGCCAGACATTCATGCGTCCAACGCTTTCGATCAGATGAGTTACGGGGTACCTTTCATACGTGAGGTTTTGCACAAACAATGTGGTTGGATTCAAGAGGTAATTTGACTCATACCATTTGGATGTCATCGTCACCGTGGCCGACCCCCACATTTGATTTACAATCAGTACTGTGTCAACAGAAAAGATCTTGCTGCGTATCACCGAACAAACCGACCAAAGGAAATTCTTACGGAGGAAATTGATTTTGCTTAGCACTTGACGCTCATCCTTTTCAGTGATGAGCTAATCTCATCTCATTTTCAGGCTCACAGCACATACTGACAAAGATAAATATGAATGATTTGTGAACTATCCCCAGACACATGCGTGACCATAATTCCTAAACAGAAAGAAGAAGAATAGAAATGATTGACCTATAATAAGGAGATGCAACCAGAGTAGGTTTCTTTGAAGTCCCACAAATGGGATTGCGTGACCAATGAGATATACCCGGTTGTCAGTTAACCCAGACTCTCCTAATCTACTTTTATAGTCTGGTGAATGACTACTTCTATTCTTTCTATAGAACTGGTAATTACAGCGTTTCTCTGATGTGAAAGAACAAATAGAACGTTTTCATTCAAGTTATACTAAGTCCTGCAATGATTAATACCACAAAGAACACTTATATTTTATCTTTGTTTTGCGGTTTATGGGTCACAAATGATTTCACAACAAATGCTACTCAAACATCTCTGATGTAACCTGTGTATAGAGGTTAGATGGGATCGAATCAGAAATGTACGATGCCGATTTGGCCACTTGCTGTTTGAAAGTTCAGTGAGTGTTGATTTCAAGTTTACGTTGCCAAAATCTTGCGCTGCACAAAGTTGAAACGGCCATGACCTTCACTTCTTAGGTAATCACTAAGATAGTAAGATTACTTTCAAACTGGACGAGTTAGTAATTAATTGAAATCCTTTAGAGAAGATGAGATAAAGTGCCATGGAACAATGGTAATCACGAACAACGTTATCGATGGTGGAATGCTTGCTAACTGTGAAGTGAATTCCTTTAAAGAACACTGGGTTTGTGATAGCTAGCATATTGCGGTAAATGTTGAGCTGAATATACTGGTGGTGTATCACTAATGGAAGCTGAATAGAATTAAAACAAGTGGTTTGTTTTCTGCCTGGATAAATTGTATTCCCTCACTTTACATTATGAGTAAAATCGTTTTCTCTGTTTTTGAGATGAACCGTCGTGACTGGATTACGTCGAAACATGGTACGTTGGATGCTAAAACTCACCAAAACCTATAACTGTATGATGAATTAGAGGAACTAATGAAGCTTAGATAGTGAATGTTTTCATTGATCTAGCCATTCACACAAGGTGATGACCGTCGGCGGTATAGCTTATGGGTAAGTGCTTTGAGGTCACGACCCGAAGGTTCACTATTCGAGTCCTGACAGGGCCACAAGAATTACGCACTGCTGAATAGTTCCAAATAGGACGAAACAGCCGTTAAGTGCTCTTTGTTAGTCATCACATCGCATTTAAGCCTAATGAAGCATTTACACGGTGTTGCACATTTTTTCCCTGTAGCAGTTTCTTTAAGAAACGAAAACTCAGCACCTCTTGTTTCATAATAGCATCAAGCCTCCTTATATCATTTAAATGAAGCTTAATTACTGAACCAAATAATACCTTTGAAATGAAAATCCATGATTATGTTGCAGTAAATAATGAATCAAAATAATGAAATCACTCACGTCCAAAATAAATCCAATAGTCTCTTTGATGAAAACCTTTTGACACGTTTAAAACAATTTTCAACATTGTTATCACAATGACCGTATTTTAATCCCTCACGGTGCATTATTTTCAATCACAGAAAACAATGAGGCAATGGTTACTCAATGTTCATATTCCAGACCATTTGAAAAATAGTATTAGTCCTTTCTACTGGTGGATACACCGAACGATGAGGGTATTTTATTCTTCTTCACTCGATAGGACTTCCAACGAAACCGATTCAGTTACAGGCTACCACGGTTGACCCGGCAAGAATTCAGCTCTCTTGGATGGGACCGCGAGACACAGGTGGTCGACGAACACTCTGGTTCACAGTCCAGTGCCTTGAAGACATGCAAACGGATTGCACCGAGCAACCAACCTACATAAACCCCGCACCGACTTTTCTATTCAAGTGAGCTAGACAATTCCGTGGTGCATGATATTCCGTGAAACAAACACAGTTGCTGAACTGCCATTACTTGGCAGGTTTCAAATAACCCTAGAGCAGAATGACTAGGTGTGGGCATAACTTCGAGACATGGAAAACGCCTACGATGCGTCAGCTTGTGCATTTCATTACCAGAACTAGAGGTTCACTTCTGTCGATTTTCTTCACAGTTGTCTGCTTGACTGTTTTTTACAAATTGACACAAGGGACCTTTTAGAGCAGGCGCATGTAATAAACTTTGGTATTAGGCGCGAAATGGCCAGAAATCTTTTCGAGGTAAGATTATACGTTACTTCGGCTTTTAGCATAACTTTTCAGAAGCGTTGTTTGGTCATTCGCGGCCTAGAGGTGAGCTTTAGCAAAGCTTTGACACGTGCACTGGGTTTTGTACGATCCGAATCACTATGTCAGATGACGGTTACCATATCTTTAATTAAGGGAAGTTGGCCTTTGGCGATCCCCACGCGACCAGTGTTATTTATTCTTTTCAATTAGGCCGGAAGATGCCTTTGTATTCGCTTAGGCAACCATCAACCAATGTGAATAACGTCAGTGACATATCAGGAGTAGATGTACAGATAAATGCACATGAGCTATTGTTATTGACAACTGATCCTTAAGTCCTTGATTATTGATCAGAGCAGTGAAATATGTCACATTCACCTGCGTGTTTAACTGTCGATTATGCTGCGATCTGGAGCCTTTTCAGACGTTCACTAATAGAAGCTGGACTGATAAATTATAGTTTTCTATGGACGGTAAAATGATCTGGAACAAAGGCGCTCAAGCGATTCCATTATTGTACTGCCAATAAAAATTGTACTTCAAATGGTCCCTTTTTAAAAAGAATAATACAAGAGATTGTTAGAAAAGAAGTTTGTGATTGTTTTGCTTTATGCCCCTATTCCCATGATTTCTCATTCACAGAACCCTGGTCATCGGACTTGCGCTAGGCAAGACATACACAATGACCGTAACCTCTCGAAACGATCTCAGTGACATATTTCCCAAAACGGCCTTGGAAGACTCTTCAACCTCAGTTACATTCACCCTCCCTGAGGAAAGTAAGCTCAAAACCTCTGGTTTAGATTTAGATTTATCAGTTTTGTAAATTTGTTGCCTTATTGAATCAAAAATAAGAATAATGATTTTTTTTACTTCAGTAAAGTTGCATCCATTTCCCGAATATCTTATTTATTGTTAATTAACCAGTCTTTGAATAATATTTTCCGATCCGCTTTTTACCAAAACAAGTTCTACTTATAATATTACTGTCAGACGTCGACTGATGCTTTGGTGTGATACAAGCCAATCTGTTATCTTGCAGTGTATAAGGTTATACCATAAACAGTGTACCGTGGATTACAACGAGATATTTATGAAACAAAAGTATCAGTTTAATCAAGTAATTACTATTTCAGGCGACAGCACGCAACACAGTAGTAGATGATAATGGTATTGACGCCATATACAAGTCAAAATTGCATCGAATACAATCTCCCAGGGTTTGAGTCACGTTCGAAACCTGAATTTTTATTTTTTTGTATCCATAAAATGGTCTTATGTTTCTCTCCAGTGTATTTATTAATAATACTAGTTAGGAAAGAAAGTTCTATCCTCCGTGGGATAAATTGTGTTGCAGCGCTTAGAAAACAATGATAAGTGGAGGCATTTGTGGTGTGATGATGAATACTTGCATGGTTCACATGTTCTTTGTGCTGTACGCATAAACGTATATTTCCAACTGTTATCTCACAAACACCATAACCCGCAATGTGAAAGGGGTGATGATGAAGCACTTTATTTCAGAATGCATATTTGATTTTGTATATGGGGTAAGCTGCTAAAAGTCAAAAGCTGACTGCACTGATAACTTCGATGAAATATCTCATCGTCTTCCCTCAACTATTTTTAGAAACTCCTTGTGTGGTGAACGGTAGGTGTGGTAAACCTCATAATTACGTCAACCTTTTGTTCCATTGTCGAAAGCGACAATATAACCTCCGGTGTTTAGAGCTACGAACCATGGTATCAGACGACAGCAAAGCTCCCTATCCACAACTTAGTACCAAATAAACCTAAGTAACACTTTAAAACTTTGGCAATACCTAATCTCAATTTCCCATGTAAATTTATCTTTGATTTTTCACTTCACCTGAATGAGCTCCCCTATGTTCCGAAAAAACTTTATTTCATGGCATTTGACCAAAACCAATAACCCGCGACCGTGATGTGTGGAACGATTCCTTTAGAAAACGGTTGTTTTGAGGTGTACATGGTTTTATATTATCTGATGGGCTTTCAGGATGGAGCTTCGAGTTCAACTAACCAACATGATGGTTCACTGGTTGTCTTTTACTTGAGTCCATCACCAACTGAGTTACGGGATTGTGAGGATGAAGCAACATAAATGCTTTGGTATAGAAATAAGTTGATACCACATAGCGGCATCGCGATTAACGTAAAATGCTCATTAATCGGGTTGAATACAGGATGGAATAGAGAACAAACGTTTACAAGGAAGTGTTACAAGACAGATTGGATGACGGTCAACAGTCAGCAGATTCAATAAAAAACAGAGATGTGGCGAACAAGCTTGGTTTTAGTGTTTTATCTAATGACCAATTACAGCCCATTATATAACTCGGAAATAACAGAGGGAGACAGTCAACTCAGGGTTTTAGTGTGTGTAAAATGGACATTCAGCGGTTGGGAGGGAGAGAAATGTATTATCACTGGCTGCATGATTGATGATAATCCCTTGCGGAGTGTGAATATTCGACCGAAGTGTTAGGTGGGGGCACTTCGGACAAACGACTATGAGAGGGAAAGGCCTTTAACGAACTGTTTGTGTGCACATAATGGGGGTATGTTTATTCTAATTGCTATCGCTTCTGCTGTAGATAACAATCGAGTTTTCACATCATAAGACCGGATCCCCATCAGTAAATAGATCGGATGGAACGATTCCCGCACACCGACGGTGTGATTCGTCTCGGTCAGATGTATGGCAACCGCACTCACACCTGCCATTATTGGTCTCCGGCTGAGCCAAGCTGGGTGGTGTTCTCCTATCCGATCGGCCAGGCGTCTGGTGTTGCGTCGCACTTAACTTGCACCACAGGAGCAAGTAAACTGGTAAACATAGAAAGAGGTCATCTCCATCGATAGCCTGTCATTCATCTGTAATGGGAGAACTGGTTTGGAAGAGTAGAATATACGCAGTTCTGTTGAGAAATAACTATTTTTTACCACATTCCCCAGCCGGTTGGTAATAGTCCTCGCAAGGGTGTCACCTTTGAAAGGCAGTGAAATGTAAACCACCACTGTGTCAATAAAACAAATTCTTTTTACACCATTGGCAATAGCAATTAGGTTAAACATACCCCCATTATGTGCACACAAACAGTTCGTTAAAGGCCTTTCCCTCTCATAGTCGTTTGTCCGAAGTGCCCCCACCTAACACTTCGGTCGAATATTCACACTCCGCAAGGGATTATCATCAATCATGCAGCCAGTGATAATACATTTCTCTCCCTCCCAACCGTTGAATGTCCATTTTACACACACTAAAACCCTGAGTTGACTGTCTCCCTCTGTTATTTCCGAGTTATATAATGGGCTGTAATTGGTCATTAGATAAAACACTAAAACCAAGCTTGTTCGCCACATCTCTGTTTTTTAATGAATCTATCGGAATTATTCAGTCAGTAGAATACTGAATGCATCCGGTCAAATGGGGAGCAACCATGAACACAAGTTATATTGCATCGGTGGTTTGTGTTTGATTGGTATTATTAATTCTCTATTTTTGTTTTCCTAGACAATATTACCGATCTTAAGTAATATATAAACACAAGAGACTGTATGCCGCGGGATGATAGTGAATCAAATGAAACAACGTTCTGAAGTTATACAAATTTGTGTCGACTGTCTTTTGTAATATGTTTTTCTTTTAACTGACTATCTGACTATCCGAAGCATTCCTGTGAGCATGCAGGAAATTGAATAGCATTTTCCGTCTTCGAGATAATCCAACTCGGATTTCTGGAGATATCACTTTAAACAAGCGAGGATAAACTAAAATGCAAGGTTGTCGCCATTGTAAGTCACCAACGAAATGATACAGTGACAACAGTTATGCAATGAGTTGAATGGGGGTTATTTTTCGCAAAGACGTTATCGAAACCCAAACAGAAGAATTTAGTGCCGTTGTTGTTAATCTCATATTTGAATGACTGATTTAATCATTAGATGTTGTATAGGTTAACAATGGTCTGTTGAAGATAAATTGAATTGTTTGTATGCGTTTCTTAAATTTATTTCCAATCATTAATCCTAGGCTAATTTGCATACGATTCGTTTGGAAAGTGGATGAATCTATCGTTGCAGGCGTTTAAAATGAATTTCTTTATAGGAAAGAAAATAGGACGCTAGGTTTCTTGGGAAGTAGAAAGCACAAATAATGTTTTAAAAACGAAATGCCCAATAAGACAGTGAAAGTTTACAATCTACGTTATAATTCTCAATATATGAATTAGACGCGTGATTGTAGAATTGGACTACAGGGAAGCAAGTTTTGCTTTGAGGTAGACTTGTAAATCGTGTGCATGAATTTCAGATTCTTAGAGATGAAATTATAAGAAAATCTCGGGTCATCTAACACATCACCAAAATGAGGAATGTGTATTGTGCACTTGGCGATACCATGCTTTGTGCTTTCCCACTAATGAAGAAAGAAGGGGTTTTGAATTCAACTCCCGACCTTAGATTGCCTTGTACGTTGGTTGATATGGCTTAACTGTTTCTGAGTCACTGACTATTTCGATCAAACCAAGATGAAGTAGGAATTGGGGTCGGTATTGGGTAGTTCTGAGGGTCATCAAATTCGGGAAGATCAGTTCAAAAACCTAATTCGACTGGATTCATGACTACCCGATAGATTTGGGGAACATTGATTTTAAAATAATCAGTACTTCTACAGTAGGAATAAAAATCTGAATGGTAAAATACGTACGAATATTTTGTATACCTGAGTTTCACCCTGTTCCATCTCCTTGGGGAGATTCTTCTTCTCAGTCGCTAGCAGCAAACGGCTTTTACCCTTTTGTCAATTATGGAGAAACATTGATTTATGTGTCATCTTGCAATAGATTATGTGCCGCTAACTCCCCACTGCCATCGAATAACGGTGGGTTTTATGTAGAACGAAAGCTTGAATGACTCTCACTTCGGCATGCTTCTTTTCAAGGTGATCCGAATTCGGAGCAAAAGCTTTTACTTTCATAGGCATCATTCTCCCTATCCCCTTTATTCTATATAACATTATGATCCAAAACAACAGAATTAAAACGATTTAATACTTTCATAAGTTTGCAACCACTAGGTGAAGAGTCAGTACTCCGAAGAGTGATAGAAGGAATGCTCGGGGAAATAAGCTTGCTATCTAGTCTACTGCGAAC